GATAAAGACAACAGCTTAGTGGCATGTAGGGAAGATACAATCCTACAAAATGCACCATTCATACCACTATTTGTTTTTAAAACTATGTTATAATAAAATTGAATATCTGAGTCTGAAGCGAGAAGGGAGGAGATGATGCTGAAAGGCTGGATTGGAATTTGGCCTAAATTTCCTCTTCCTATTCCAAGTCTGAATGCTAAATTAATCACTCAGATTTATATGAAGGTGAAAGCTACACAACATCTTCATCAAGGAAAACCAGGGTTACAATTCAATAAAATGTGTGGTAATACTTTATTGACTAATGAATATACAGCTCCTTCTGACTGCTGTATTTTACTATTGAGGACTGTAACAGCATTGCAATTACATTACTAGTATTTGCTAAGGAGATGTCTGTCTCTTCTCCTGATCTTAAAACAAGCTTTAAAAAAGACAGGAACTGAGAGGACGCCAAGAGAAAACAGGTTATGCACCGGCCCAGAGTCTTGTGGGGAAATAAGCTATGCACAGATAATAACAGTGCAAACAAGTTGATGCTGCTATTTTTAAACAAGCTGTTATTATTGACTAACAGAGGTTGCTGTAGGTGGGATGTTGTTAATGACAAAAGCTCTGGAACAGTAAAATTGCTACTAATCCATGCACTAGAGAGCCTGATAATGAGAAACACCTAAGTGCAGAATTAAATAGTCCTCTAAAATCATTTCCACTACATGTTACTTGATAAGGAGTCATAGCTTCCTAAGCAGACCTTTTTCAAAAATCTCCATCCACAGAGATCCCATATTACCCCATTCACAAATTAGAGGGATGAGGAAATCCTCAGGGGGTTATTAGTGCAGCTTTCAGAAAGAAAGGAACCCAGTCACTTTGAAACAGGCAAAAAATGTTCTGGGACAAGCTATTTTAGGGCCCACTCAGGAAAAAAAAAAGTCATGCTGTGATCCTTAAGCAGGTATGTGAGTATGTAGCACCTTGGAGTACTCCAGATGATCTAAGTCAACTGTTCTGTGAAACCTTTTTTGGCATTATGCAGGTGAACAGTCTGTGCTGAACAGTCCTTTTTCTCTACTATTTATCAGATCCCATTTTCTTTTTTCTGGTGGTTGTCTTAGCCCACAGAGGCATGGTGTGAGGAGGCCAGCCTGAGGAGGCCTTGGGTCATCAAGTCATTTGGAAGCTCTGGGGGGGGAGCTACGTTTGGTCTTCAGCACAGCCAGTTGTGAACATGTGCCTGCTGACCACATCCATTTCCCCAGTGGGTAAGTCTCTCCATAAGATCAGAGGCGAAGGAGCTGTGATGTGCTTTGTTTTTAATACCTCTGCAAATTCAGGTTATAAGCATCCAAGTTTTGGCCCGCGGATTGTTTGCTTTCTGTATGTATTTGATATATCTAATAGGTAGCTACAATTTGGCCTGGAAATTACTCCAGAAATACATAAAACATGTTAGTTTTATTTTATCTTCAACCTGAGTTTAGGATGTAAATCAGTTTTAAAAACAATTGCTGAAAATTTGTGAGGTTAACTTAGGTTTTTCTTTAAACCATACATATCTCAAAAATCAGAATTTTCCCTAACTTGAAATCAAATTAATAAATCAACCTACATCGATTCAACCTTGAGTTTCTGAAAAGATTTGTGAACTTTAACAGCTCTTTCAACGGGCCTGTTCTGCATTTTGAGTTTCTAATGCAATCCAATCCAAGTGAGATTTACATGACTTCACATTTTGTTGCAAACATTCACAGCTCAAAGCTATTACCTGACTGTCTTCCATATCAGGCCATTTATGTGTCTAAGAAAACACTGGCATCTGTTTAATATTTTATTGCTTTAAAAATATCTTTGTTGTTCAGATATAATCTTGCTCTAACATTTTCATGAAGAGAGTCTTTAATTTATTCTTTCTGTAGAGCTGAGGACATGTACCCTCATGTAAATAAAATTAACTATGAGTTGACCCCTAATCTGCAGTGCAAGAACATTGTGAAATAGGAATTTTTCCTTCAGAATGGGTTGTTTTTCTTATTCTAATTTTTTCTTAAATTTTCTAATGTTTCTGAGTATTTTCCTTGATTGCAAACACGAAACATCTAATGCCTTGTGGCACCTTGTATTGAACTTCAAAAATAATACGTTAAAAACATCCATAACTGCTTTCAGCTTTAGGCCCTAAAAGTTTATATTATTACTGATATATTAATTCTTAAGAAGTTTGAAATGTTTACAGGTCACTTCTCTCATTATTAAAAATGCGTAACTCTTATGTACCCTATCAATCCACATACTGTAGATCACTTTATGGAGGAAGGAAATGTAATTATCCCTATTTTATAGACAAGTTAATGCTGCAGTAAACAAAGTCATAGAGCAAGTAGAGCTTCTACACAAAGACAACTGACAAAACCAAAATTCTGTTGCCTACAGTACTTTCCAATTTGATTTGTCTCAAATTGAGACACAGTTAATTTTCTTTTGGATTCTTTTGACACAGGGCTGCCAAAATAGTAGCAATTTTGGTGTAATAAAACACAAGGGGAACAACTTTAAAGAAAAGCTACTTTAAACAAAGCTCAGAATCAGAGAGGCAGGGACAGCCTTGAAGAAAAACCTTACAGTATAGAACAGTACAGTGTTTCATGAACCAGCACCACACGGAATAGACATAATACATAGATATATAGAGACAGGTGGGTATGGCTATCTAGCCACAGATAGATGGTTCAGTCACACTGTCAAGATGTCCATGGCACCTGCCTATCAATGAGTGTGAAGTGGTTCTAAACCCAGCAAGTTGCTTGGTTCCCCTTAGTAGAAAAAAGGCTTTAGTTACTGATACAATTGGAACACTTGGAGCCCAGGAGAATTTCTCTGTCTTCATCTTGCTTGGATATGGGCTTTGTAGTGCTGTTTTTTTCCTGGATAAGCAGCATCTAGCATATGAGTGCTTTCCAGAACTGAAATAGCCAAGGACAGGTTGAGAATGCTCATGGTTTCTAGCCAGTACCTGCTTATGTCAAGTCTCAAGATGAGCAGGAGGAGCTAGATGAAGTATAGCACGAGCCTCCTCTTTTCATTGTTTTATCAACTCCAGCTCTCCAAACCTTGTGCTGTGCCCAGGATCTAGTCCAGAAGATCTGTGTGTCCTCAGGCAAGATAACGTCTGGTAGGAGCTGTATTGCAAAACTTGTGCAAGAGCTTCTCTGCTTGGCAAGCTCTGCAAAAGGAGGATTCGCCTCTCCCTTCCCTGTATCTCTATGGCTTCCTAGAGCATTGCTGGAACGATAAGCCACCTGGTTGCAAGCACAGTGGGAGAAACAGTGCTTGAATTTGCAGCTCAACATTAAGGATAGAATCAACATCTATTATGTGATGTCCTTTATTTACATCAGGATTGGAGTGGGGGGAGAGAAGGCTTCATGAAGATGAGATGAAATGGGTAATTGCGACAAAACAATATTTCCATCAACTAGCACATGTCTAGCATGATAAAGAAAAAAAGAGTGCCTGACTCTTTGTAAGGCTGTGGGAATCTTCTCAAGAAATCACTGCTGTTTTCTTTCTTTCACCAAAGATCAGTCTTTTGGGCATTGCTTCAGGCAGAGCTTCTAACAGACAAAACCTCAGTCATGAGAAAAGGCTAGTTTCAAGTGTGACTTCAAGGGACTATATTGAGCCAATCAGAAACAATACGTACTCATCTGGTGAAAGACTACATAGGTCATCATGTGATAGAAGTGGAATTATATGAAAACAATTTGATACAAAATGGAGAAATGAACTGCTAGAGTTGACACAGGAGAGAAATGCATAACAAATCAACAGCTGAAATGAAAAACATTAAAAAGGAACTCTGAATCTGAAACAAAATGGATTTTATTTTAAAAAAGCTAATGTCTGAAATGCTAAAATAGAAGAAAATTTTTAATCCTGGAGCTATAAAATTATTTTAAATTAAAGACTATTTCAAATATAAATGTTAATCATAATTTGCAAATGATAAATTGAAATAATAGTTGTGTGTATTGAAGCTGCAGTAAAAAATTTTCAGAAAAATTTCAAGGAAAGGAAAGCAAGGAAAAATTTATGAAAATTCACAAAAAGATTTTGAAAAAAGATCACAGAAATAATTGATATAAGAAATTAACCAAACTACTAGTCCTGGTACCACGGTTATAACTATTAACACTGTAAAAACCAAAAAGTTTGGAATACAATCCAAATGTCAGTTTCCCAGGAACACAAACCTCTGTCAAAATACTTGGGGATACTCATCTTCAAAAAAAGTCAGGTCTCCTTGGCTAAATGGCCAGTGCTCACAGATGAAGAAAATAAGAAAATTTTGTCTGAAACTGCAAGATTTACGGTGTCTAGTTTTTGAATATGACTGCATGAAACACCAGTACTAGGTGTCTATTTCTTCAGCACAATATATTTCAATACATTTGCTAGAATAAACAATGAATGAGAAGGTGCTCAGATGCATAGTCAGTAGGGAACACTCCATTCCTGCCCGCTTGTCTGCTTGTGATTTTATACCTTTCAGCTAAATCAGAGATCCAAATGGAAAATTCATAACTTAAGGATATCAAGTGAATTTGTGCCCCTCCCTGGAGACTTTGTGCCCATAAAGCATGTACGTAGTCTTTCTTTTCTGACAGATATAAGAGAGAATTTACATTTAATGTATACTTCAAATATTATTAAATGTAAGTTACTAATATGTTACAAATATCCTGTATTTTCTTTCTTCTGTTTCACATCTAAGGTTTATACAACATGCAGAAAACACTGGGGGAAAAACAGTGTATATAGTATATGCAAATTTGCATGCTTTGCCCATACAATTGTGTCAGTTTGTTTCTTTCAGAAGATAGAAATCTTATAGCAAAATATTTTCTATTTTTTTTGTTACAAGTCATGGAAGCTTCAAAGAGGAATAAGCATACAGGAGTAAAAGGAAGTGGAAATGGAGGCAGGAAAGAGAAGAGGCGAAAAAGATATTGTTGTGTCTATGTTAAAATCATAAAATGTTTCCACACTGTTAGAGTTTAAATCTAGAATGCCATCCATGTGAATGTGAATGAATGCCTTCACTCCTGTCATTTGTTTCTCCTGAATTTCCATCCCCCTATGGATGTATGATGGTGAGCAAGTAGGGAGCTCTGATCTTAATGGAATAGGATTTCTGAGGACTTCTCACTCATCCATATATCAGAACAATTCATAGTCCACCTTTTGATTATATTTTTTAGAGATAACTTCCAAATAGAAAATAAAAAATATTAATATTAAAATACAGATTTTTCACTAACTGAATTTTCACTTTCACTTTCAAGACATTTTATATCCCTTTCTCTCATTAATCAGTTATTTCCCCATCATTTAATTGACTAGAATTTTTAAAATTATTAGACTTTTACACAAAACTCTAATGTTTGGACTTGAAGAACAGGGCTCAGCTGTAACTTCTTTTCTTCTTACGTTCCCAGGAACTTTAGTACTGTTGCAAAGACTTTAAAAATTGATTCAAGTTGGATTTGCTTTAATCACATATCATGGCTAGAAGGGAGCCTGGTTTTCTCTTCATCTAAAATCAGAATTTTGTATGGAGACCCCTCAGGGTGTGCAATTGGCCTTACTGTGAAGATGGGAGGAAGGAAACCATCATTCCTTGGATACTAGTGGGAAGGACGGGACACTGGCATTTAATAGCACTGTGTGTCTGCTTTTCTGGTGTTGCCCACCGCAGCTGTAGAGACAGACGAGAGGACACTTTCAGGGGCTTGACATCCAATCACAGCTTCCTTTGGCTGTGACTGGCCTCAGGTAAAACCAAGGAATAGTAGTTGCAAGAGCAACCTTAACCTCTGTTCCACAAAAAACAAAGGAGCATGGTGCTATCTATGTTCCTCTGTACACCTGCATCTCTTTTCCTCTCCTCTACTGGAAAAGAGGTAGGGAAGGGGAATAAATATAAGTAGGGAAACATCCATTCATTTACTTTCAACATCATTTAGTAAAGGAAAGGAGGTGGGAACAAAGAGTTCCTAGTAGAACAAACTTAAGTGTAGAGAAACAGAAATAAATGTTTCCCCATAACTGTTACAGAGAATTTTTTATTTTATTTTATTTATCTTTTATTATTTTCAAACAAATATTTGCCTAAATTGAAATAATAAATCTGTTCTTATTTAAGAGAATGTCAATGTATATAAATATTTCAATAATTGTATTGTTATCAATAATATTATTTTTTGCCCCTGCAAGAATGTTTCATATACAAGTTCATTTTAAAATGCTATGTGATGACAAGTTGAAGAAAGTTGTCTGCATTTTATATTTTTACCAGTATATCACCTGTATTCTGTATACTTGTTTGTTGGAAAAGAATGGTTCCATGTCTGTATTCCCAAATCAGTGTTGAAGTATTCTTACTAATTGGTAAGGTGGTTCTACACAATAGCTGAGAAAACTGTTGTCTTTTCTTCTACATTTTCATCTATCTGGACCAGTCTGATTTTCCTTGGAAGATAATAATTGACAAATCAGACAGCTCCTCATGGTTTTTTCTTAATTGAAAAAGAAGGACAGATAAAAGATGTATATTAATTTTCAAATCTTCCTCAAAAAAACATTTTTATAGATAATTCTGTTCTGTTCATTTTTAACAGAATTTCAGTGCTGTCTGTTTCCAGGATTTATAGAGGAAATGGATGGAGAACATCATGTTCAGGATCTTACTCTGTAGATGGACCTTCTGTGTGCTGCACCAGGTAAACCAATCCTTGCCACAGTGAACAGGACATGCTTTTTCACTGTTCACACTTTCCATTTCATGGTTTTACTTTCTGCATAATTCTTATTAAAGTAGTTATGAGAAAATTCTTGTTACATTACTTATGCTCTACAATTATGCTTTTGTGGCATGTGAAATAGTTCTGAAGCAAGTCCAAGCAATCCTGAATTTTGAATTCTGACTTCAAATCCAGCTGTGAACTTCTTATTTATTTGCTTAAATATAAAATAATAAAGGTGTCTGTCCAAGTCTCTAAAAGCATAACATCTTTGATTATATGGTGAATTAAAATAGATTAAACCGTAGCAGAACTGAAGTCAGTTCCAAAGGAACTAACCATTGCTTTTCATCCCCTTGCATCTCATTCCCTCTAATCAAACAGATGTCTCCTGCATCCCTGGAGAGGCCCCACACATGGGCTATTTTGGATTATAAGGCGCAAGTTCTAGAGTCTCATGGGCTTCAAAGGGAAAGCCATAGACTCTTCATCCTGTTATGTGTAATGAGGAAAACAGCATAGTTGTTTCTGCTAACTGCAGCTGTTACAGGGTGCCAGAGTGAAATAAATTATGATGGACTGGTCTCAGATTTCTTGGGTATCTTTTTGGTTATGCATCATATCTCATGGCAGATAAATGTACAGTGGGTCAAACTACACAAGTGGATCAAGGTGCTTGTGTGCAGATGAGACAGATCGTAGCAAACTGTTGAAGTTCTATGAACAAGAGTCTGATTATAACATGATGGAAGTACTGATAGTCAAAGTGCCATCTGGAAGAAGTGGCTCAGATCTCCTGTCTCTAGAGCAAAACATACACTAATGGTGATCTGTGGCCAGTGATGTTGAGCACAACTGAATTTCCATTATGTCCATGGGAACCAGTGGGTACTTGCCACCTTTGAGCTCAGTTATTTTTACTGTTTTCTGTGGTTAGTCCCATACAGAGCAGTGGCATTTCTCTGAAGATTCCCAGGCTAGATCCCAATGTGTGTATCTGCTGACCTAATTAGCTTGCCTGAGAAGCAAGACAGATTAGCTGTCTTGAGCCAGAGGCACATGCTAATAGAGCTAGGAGATAGCTTTATTCCATACAGCTCTATCCTCAGAGCCAGATTCAAAGGTCTTTAACACCCACAGAAAGATTCCCATTTACTTCAGTGGAAGTGGGATAAGGTCCTGAGCTTTGAAACTGTCTCAGAATGTAATGTACCTTGATGTCAAACGTGGCTGTGCCCCAAGAGCAAAATATTAACCTATAGTAACAGTACTTTGCACTTACCTAGCAGCTCTCAAATAATCATCTCTGTGCTCTTTAATTAATTAACCTGTACAACAATATCTCTTTGAGGGTTAGCTAAGGATCAGAACTGAGTGATGAGTTTAAAAAAATATCCAATTACTCATTTATACTGAGACTATTTTTGATTTGAGTGTATTTGTGTCCTTTTTCCAATTTGCTTTCTGATAATACTGTTTTTAAAAAGCATGTTTTAATCATAAACACTTAAATATTCATCAAACAAAAATGGGTGTTCATACTTTTACTGGCACACCGTTGTGTAACAGTTCATTACTTCTACCTTTGACTCCCTCCTCTCACTGCACCTGCCGCCTCTGTCCCCATACAGAATCATAGAATAGTTTGGGTTGGAAGGGACCTTTAAGGGTCATCTAGTCCAGGGACATCTTCCACTAGATCAGGTTGTTCAGAGGCCCCAGTCAACCTGACCATGAATGTTTCCAGGGACGGGGCATCTACTACCTCTTGTCTCCTTCTTTCTTATAAGCTCCTTTTAAGTACTGAAAGGCCGCAATAAGGTCTCCCTGGAACCTTTTCTTCTCCAGGCTGAACAACCCCAGCTCTCTCAGCCTTTCTTCACAGGAGAGGTGTTCCAACCCTCTGATAATTTTTGTGTCCTCCTCCAGACCTACTCCAACAGGTCCATGTCTTTTCTCTGCTGAGGGCTTCATAGTTGGATGCAGTGCTGCAGGTGAGGTCTCACCAGAGCAGAGTTGAGGGGCAGAATCCCCTCCCTCAACCTGCTGGCCACACTTCTTTTCATGCAGCCCAGGATATGGTTGGCCTTCTGTACTGCAAACACACGTTGCCAGCTCATGTCCAGCTTTTCATCCACCAGAACTCCCAAGTCCTTCTGGACAGGACTGCTCTCAATCCCTTCATCCCCCAGCCTGTATTGGTACTGGGGGTTGCCCCAACCCAGGTGCAAGACCCTGCATCTGGCCTAGTTGAACCTCATGGGTCCATTTCTTGAGCTTGTATTCCTTAATCATCTTCTGGTGTATCCTCACCATTCCCTATTAAGGCAATGCTTGTTCCTAAATATATTTTTTCCAATATGAAATCCAAAATATTAAGCTAGGCAAAATCACTGATGTATTGCATTGAACTGGTGGGCAAAGGTGTGCAATTAGAGGAAAACACACCAGACCTCTTGACTAACAATATTGCATAAGGCTCAGAGTTTCATTAACAGCTTTTTAGGAAGTTGGTCATGAATAGAAGACAACCCAAAGACATTTGTGAATATTTTTGAATAATCAATATATTTCATTTTCCTATGAGTTTTAAATTCCTTAGAAATGGATATTAAATCAGTGGTAGATATGTGCAGAATCTAGGAGTCCTGATATTTGTTATCTTGTCCTGACTTTAAATAGCAACATCTCTCTTATCTGAATGCTAAAATAACACAATATGTAGACTTGTTCTAAAAGAAAAAACCCTTAATTACTTATGATTGTTAGCATTTAGGTAATGTTTTAAATATTCTGCTTGAGAGTTAAATTTGGAGTGAAAAGACTACAGAAATATCAGACTCAAGTGGCTCTGTTGGATCTAAAACAGTAACTGAAAAAAAATTTGGAAAAGAATTTTGATTCTTCACCTCCCTTTTCTGTGACTTAGAATTGAAGTTCCTGTTCATTATGAGTATATTGCAACAGGGTAATGATTAACTATTGCTGTTAAGTTTGTTATGAAAGAAAGATTCCTTGTGTTTCTTTCATTTGAAATGTTTACTTCCTGGGAATTATTAGTTAATGCATCTTGAACTACATTAGCTTATTCGGGTTTGTGGTTGATCTGATAGCCATGTTCCGCTAATCACATGTGCCATCTGGCTGTAGTTCCATTTGGATCATGTTTAGCCATTAGCTGCTAAAAAGATCTATGGTCATTTATCTCAGTGAATCAGACAGCATCTAAATATGAATGGAAGTGTTCACCAAGCTGGAATTTAGCATTATTTTTATATGGTACTAAAGGTCTTTTTTTCTAGGCTAATTTTTTATG